TATATATATATATATATATAATCGTAACATACTAACATCAATCTAAATCCTTAAGTTAGTGACAATATGGACAATGATCGAGTGATCTGTTTATTTTACTTGATCCTAAACAAATGAGGTTCATGAAAAAGAGAAAACTTCATAGTTCAGTATCCTGTAGAAGCGTTCTTTAATTAATTACCCTATGCCATGAGTCATGCGCTGAGCAGATGTAGCCTTGTATTCTGCCATGTGTTAGAAAATGCATGTAACTGAGGTCGCCATTTGAGGAACTTGAAGCTTATAAATTCACACATTCAGACATAATCAAATCCACTCCATCTTTGCTTTTTCATCTTCTTTTGTTATTACTGCGTTACTTCACAACACAAACAAAGCATAAATAGATAACAATATGGCAAGCCACGGTAACGACAACCTTTACAGCAGTGGCGCCCAAGCCCCCGGCCAAGCTCAGGTATATCATTACTCAATGTTAGTACTTTTAACCTACAGTTTGATCCATTTAAAACTATGTACTTTTTCCAATTGCAGATGAGAAGGGATGGCTCAAACGCACCTTCTGAGGGCCAAGGCCATAACTTTCTTCAAGAGGTAATTTTTAGCCCCTCCTAATTAAATTGTAGGTGCGATAAGTTATTAGGATTTAGATTATATATGTTCGAATTCTATCATTTTGGTATTTATAGAGAAATTTAATATTTGTAAGTAAATATATAGTCCCAGTAAGAAGTTGCAGAACCATTCTCTATTTAATAAAGAGTAATTTGGTGCGCTAGCGAGCTGGTCCGATCACATATATTTTGGCCATGTTTTTGCAAGAGCCGGTTGAGGCGGTTTTCTTGTCACACGTCAGACAATTTTTACCGTGTCGGTTTTAATAGTTGCGCCAAAGCTCCTCTTCTCGATTCTTCTGAACTTTCAATATAGAGCTTACATTTATTTCTAAAAATTTACTAAAATTACAATAAATAGTAAGTGTAAATTCATAATTTTAAATTCATAAAACTTAAATTCTAAATTTGCATGTCTTCACACTACTAAAAAAAGGGGGAAATCGATCGCCAAAATCGACCGATGTTGGTCGACCGAAAATTAACCGATTCGTGGCGGTCGGTAATCGTATCGTCGGTAGAGCTAACCGACCGACTTTGATCGGTATTTTCCAACCGATTTTGGTCGGTCAATTAAATTTATAAAAAAAATGTCGAAAAAACCGATCGAAGTTGGTTGGTTTTTTCGACCAAAGTCGGTCAGTATTTTAATTATGTAATTAAAAAATGCACCATCTGGAAATCGAACCGGGGTGTGTACTATGGCAGGATATTATTCTACCACTAGATCATTGGTGCATTTTGTATTAAGACCGTCTTTTATTTCATTTATACTCTTTAATTTAATTGTATTTCACACGAAAATAACCGACCGATGTCGGTCAGTTTTGTTTTATTAAAAAATAAAATTACCGATCGAATTCGGTCGGTTTCTTGAAAAATAAATTTTGCGGAATTTAAAAATAGTTTCCCGTATTTTTACGCCAAAGAAAACCGATCAAAGTTTATTGGTTTCTTAAAAAATATATATAGTATTTTGGAAAATCAACCGACTTCGATCGATTTTTTGACCGACCAAAATCGGCCAGTCGATCGCGGTCGGTTTTTGCCGAATTTCTAGTAGTATCATATTCATCTCTCTAATGTTCCTTTTTGTTTTTTGGGTTAAGACGGGGACACAAGTGAAGAACATGGCACAAGGAGCAGCAGACATTGGAAAAGGAGCAGCGCAAGGTGCAGTTAGCATGGCATGTGGAGCTGCTTTAGGTGCAGCTAACATGGCTCAGGGTGCGGCTGATGCAGTTAAGAATACTGTTGGAACCAATAATCCACCCCATGACACCACCGGCAGCACCAACATCCCTAATTACCTAGATGAATTCCCAAAAACCAACCCCACCAACCCCAAGATTTAATTGCTCTTAGGAAATGCTGTCATTTTACTGAAAAATGCTTCATATTTTTTGTCTTTCTTTTATAATGTAGGCTTGTAGCCTATTACGAGGTGTGGTTTGTCGTTTAGCACACACCATAGTTCTGTCACTTCTTTGTTCTTCACAGAATTCTATTGAGAATTGTTATTCTTGTATTTAAATATTAAAAATTGACAGCAGCAGCATCCGTACTGTTTTTCACGAAATTCATTTATAATTTTCATTAACTTGTGACCGTGGAGAAGTTATTTTGATAGACCCTTTGCTCAAAATAATCATTTAAAAATGAGTTTGAAAAAGGAAAATAATTGTGAAAATGCACATACATTATATAGTTTTCAAAATGACAGACTTGTATCCAGTTACAAGTAGAGTATTATCTAAACATAAGATGCACAATTTCTGAAAAGTTTACTTGGGGGCGTACACAAAGGATTTTATTTGTGAGATATACAAGTATTCTGTTTTCTAAATGAGAATTTGAGAGTATATCTATCATATGGAGTATAACTTTCTAAATAAAGTGTAAGTAAAGATATATTGAAATAAAAGGCTCGCCAAAAGGTTTTATCTATTTCATTTTGATATCATAATGCATTCAGAGGAATTTAACTGTTTCTCAAGATGTATTTATCCATATTAAAGTTTTCACCTTTTTTCTTCAAATACGTAATGAGAAGAATAATAAGCTCTAGGGAAAACGAACAGTCGTCAGCCTTAGGACGGACTGAATATTAAAAAGAGATCGAAAAGAAGAAGAATGGCAAGTGTAGAGGTGAATACTCCTTACCTTTGAGCTCGAACTAGTATTAAGTTATCCCTTCTCCTGCATTTAGCAGACATCTACGCACTAAATAATAATACTAAGACTTTATAGTTACAAAAGGTGTATACTTAATTCTCTCTCTTTCTCTTTTTCTCTTCCCCGGTTCACCTATGTGATAAAAATTGAAACTATATATTACCAACAAATTCCTAAATTTGCTTTATGGTTCCCAGAGCCCAGAGTTCAGTAGACCAGGAAATAATTTTGTGAATTCTAGTTAAAATATGCATAATTGAATTTTCTTGATTCCAGTACAAGATCTCATTGAAATTTGGCTCTAAACCAGAACCATTGCAATAAATTTGCCTTGTGCAAACTCAAAAATAACCAAAAATTGGCATCATATTAAGGAGCACGAAAAGAGACCAGAGTTGGTAACAAGATGGTGGAATAACAAAACAAAACCCCTATTATACACTTCATGTAGGCAAGATTCGTCTTGCTACTACTAAGATGCTTTTCTGCTCCGGCTACCTGAACCAGAGACGCTTTTCATACTTAACTCAGTTGGACTATACAAGTCTCTTTGACCCAATGAAGCACTAGCTCTACGAGGAGAACTCGTATTTGGTTCCCCTTTTGTGATCTCCGTCTCCAAAACCTTGGCTTCTTCACTTAGCATCTTTAGCTGTGTCAGCAAAATAGTTTAGCCACCGGTATAAAAGATGCACAATGTGTGTCAAAGCAGCAATGTGTGAAAGCAAGCTCAAGATGCAGTGGATAATAATGGGAAGTACAGCAGGAACGGCCTTTAATACAGATTTTAAAAGCAATCTTTTCCTTTTCAAAAGACTTCCTATGAATAAAAAGTTTTTAAATAAAAAAAATCTTCTGAGGATTACTCCGCCACATGTCTACTGGATACTACTACCTTCTGTGTAATTTTAGACTTCCTTAACAAGCATTAAACAGGGTTATGTTCAGTTCAAGAGCTTTCTCAGTTTTCAATCTATTGGAGAAATAGTGAATACGTTGCTACCTGGTAGAGATATAATGAATTCTCGGATGACTAAGTCAAAACTTACAGAGTTTTCCATTTATTCACGTTAACTGAGTACATGTACACAATACACATGAGAACTCGCAGTCTAGATTCCTCTGTCATAAAATTATTAAATTTGTCCTCTAGCACATACTTAGGGAACTTTCTGGTTATTCACATAAACTGAATACACAGATACAATACACACAATAACTCACAATCTGGAATTTTCTAAACCAAAAGTAGTTAATAATAATCCCACTTTCTCACTTCCCTCTAGCATCTTACCATCTTCTCAAAATCAAACACACAGGAGACCACTCGCTATTCATGATGGTAAATCCTCCACTACAACAGATCTCTCTCCTCTCTTACCCAGCACAGGCAAACAAACTTTCACATTTTTTTTGGATGAGTATAAGTACTTGCTCGAAACCAATGGATACAAACCAAAACAATGGATCACAGAGTTGGTGATTCCATAGAAAGCCAGAAAGGAAATATTTTTCATATCTTTATATAGGGGGGCTAGGGGCGCCAGTAAGGGTGGTTGAGAAGATCTGACGGAATAGAAAGATAGTCCAATTCAATAAAACAAAAGCTGGACAAAAGAAGTGGAAACTTCTCAGGAAATCGAAAAATATTTGTCCATGACAAGCAGAGTCTAAATATCAACTTCAAAGTCTCTTGATTCAGTATTAGGTAAAACTGAAGAAAGAAGCACAACGGATGACAATATAAAAGTATTCATACCCGAATTTCATTCTCTCTCAAGTGGTCCTGAAGGGCACTGATGGCAGGACTTAAGCTGTGATACAGAACAAAAGCAGTGACCAACAATAACACCTCCACAAAGAGGGCCGGAACTGAGTTCTAAAACGGAAGTCAAAGAGTGAGTTCATTTACCAATACTCCATTAATTTGCACATAGAAGCCTGATATGTGGATGTATGATGAATGAAAGTGAGTGGGTGCGCTTTTCCTTCCCTGCAAGAAGACATCCCAAATTATTGTAACAGTTGAAGAGCACCTTATAACTTCAGTTACACAAAGCAGTCAATCAGGAAGTGTTAAGTTAACCACCTCATATTTGTTACAACAGCCTGATTATATGCAGTTCGTTCTTCTTCAAATAATACACGCTGCAGATCTGTGAATGAGTTCAAAGGTGCATCAAGATTGAGAAGAGACGAGGATGGCAGAACCAGAAGAGGGATTTCCTTTCTAACATATTCTGCACCACTGTCACCAACCAAAAACATTTAGAGATTAAACCAAGCATTTGATTAACAAGGAAATAGCAAAACATAGAAATTCACTGAATTAAACAGCATGCCTTATCAACTTGACGCGATACAAGCTCTATTGTAGCTTCTCAGACATACAACATTATCTCAACAAGAGAGACTTGTAAAAGAACAATAGATTTTGGGATAAAACGACTTTAGTAAACAAGCAACTAGTGCTCTTTGTTTCTTTACATGTGCTTTAACTATGAACATTATTAGATAGAATAAAAAATGCCAAAGTGATTATGCAACTTCTTCAAATAAATTATACAAGTCATTAAGCCCAAATGGTCAAAATGTGAAGCTTAGTATCCAAGGACCTCATCAACATATACTATAGTAAATTTCCAGTGTAAAACCCCAAAGTAAGCGCCTGAACAAAGAACCTATAGAATCAGTTGTCCTCCAACTTTCGGACTTGTAGAATTCCAGGTTATGACATTATAATGGAGTGTATCATCATTCAGAAAAACATAGTTCAGAAAAGCAGTAAGCGCATTTGTTATGTCATGTATCGGCACACATTCGTTTAACTAAGCCTGACAATCTTTGCCAAACATGTCAAATAGAGATTTTGTACATCTATATTTAAGTAGTTGCCCAGCAGGGCGTCATTTCTTCTTCAATTGCAAGCTTAAGCTAATTTTCCATTTGACACTCCTCCAGCAACGTAATATATAACGTGCTTAAAAGGAACACATAAAATACTCAGAGATTCTAGTTGTTAAAGACCCACAGTGGTTGAGGGTATAGGATGTAGTTTCTTTATATGGTCTTGAACAATTCCCATCCCATGAGCAAGCTTTTGAATGAGTCAAACTCAATGTCCGTCACTGATTTTGGGTTTCCAATGTTGGTCCCCATGACAAGTTATCCAGAGTCTAGATGTCCAGCTCTAGGTGTGTACGGGCTGTAATCCTTACCACTTGAGCTAACTTTTGGGGTTGAGTGAGGCCACTATGTTAACAGTGACTTAACACTAGTCAATGGTGCAAATAACTAATGATGAGCTGGTAAAAAGTTCAAAGAATTTCACAATGATGTACTTCTTTTTGAGGGTCTGGATACTCACATCACAATTTTTTTTTATCTTTTTGGTAAGTAAACAATTTATTGCTATAAACTGCACTAAGAAGACGCCAATATGCACAATAAAAAACTCAGTCCTATTATACTATAAGTGCAGACTGTTGAGGGAATCCATCAACCTATTAGTCATATAATTTAGTAATTTACACCAAAAAGCTAAAAAAAGAAAAAAAGGAGTATTTGCATTTGATCTTGTACGATGGTTCTGTCTTTCCTTCAAAACACCTTAAATTCCTTTCCTTCCAAATAACACGGGAAAAAAAGGCATAGTGGAACCATAAACTTCTGACTTCTTTGTATAGATTCAGATCATATTAAGTAATCAAGTACGTACTCAAATGTACCTCATCTCCAGATTTGATCGATGCATTGCTTCTTGCATACTTTCTGACATGTCCATTGGATCTACATCAATGATTGCATTACTAAGACTGTTGGCTTGAAGGTTTTCTCCAACTCTGTTATCAACATTCGCAAAGAAATTGCCCAAGTCCGTAGATCTTGCCCCACCCTAACCAATCAGTTAAAATTAGCATGCACTACCGAAGCAGTCCAAGGCTAAAAATAGAGATGGGTGAAAATATTTCTGATCATCTGAAAAACAGCTAGCATGATAGTTTTCTCCAAGTCTACTGCCAATATTAGCAAAGAGATCCACCACGTACATAGATTTTCCCCCATCCTAATCAATCGCCTATAATTAGCAGTTGAGCACACACTAAAGAAGCACTCAGATAAAGAAAACATTCAAAGGCTAAAAAGAGATACGAGTGAAAGAAGTTCTAATCCTCAATCATAAAAAAAATCAACAACCAAATGGAGCATTCTTTTTTCCTAATACTTAAATGGCGAAAGTAACAGGGTACAAACAAAAAGATCCATAAATGGGTTTGTTGAAACGATTAGGATCTAGTATAGGGTTGGAAATCTTGAGATCAGACCAACCCATCAACCAAATTTTAATAAAAAAAATATACTGAATCTAACCTCACACCT